GGTAACACTTATTGTACCAGTAAAACGCCTTTTGGGCGAAGAACGAGCGAGCGAGATAGTGAGCCCTGCACGTGCGGAAGGGCGAGAGGGTACTTCCAACGGGCTTGTGCATAGCACCCTTCTAACCGGTCGCTAGCAGTGTGCCAAATTTGAACGCAATCGGCCCAGCCGTTCCTGAGATCTGGAAGCGGTATTCTGCACGTGCGCACGTGCAAACGGGATTCAAAATGACTTTTGCACGGCACCCTACTAACCGGTCCCGAACCGTGTACCAAATTTGAGCGTAATCGGCCCAGCCGTTCTCGAGATCTGGAAACGCCCCCTGCACGTGCGTACGTGCAGTAGCACCCTAACCGCAACACATGGGAATGCATTGCCTAGTGGGTGCCTACCTGTATGCCAAGTTTCAGCGAAATCGCCCCAGTAATTGCCGAGTTACTGAAATGGGAACAAATTTGACACCTCTTATTTTTGCACGTGCACTGGGGGTTACTCACATAGAGCAAGAGTATCCGACCTTTATAGTTCGTTTTTCTTAAGTTCGACCCTCACTGTAATCGTCTCTTTGAAGATATTATAGGATTAAATTGGACTTACTCCACAAGAGAATCGTTTTCGGTCGGAGCTTTCGACATGTATTACATGTCCTCTTCAGCGAAGGTCGGTAATCGGGGCGAAAATAAAACGTTCGGGTCGAATCGAATCGCACTTTAATCCTATAATATCTATTTGCTCTCCACACTAACATGTCTCTACGTCTCTTTGAACATAGCACGAGAATTGCTAGCTGAATTACTTAGAAAACTGGCTGGCGCACCTTGATTTCATAGACGATTTATTTTACTCAAAATTATTTCTTCCTGGCTCTTATTTCCCAGACTCCTAGCTCGTAGTCGCCTTTATATACAACCCCACAGAGATAGACATCTTGTCAGAAATTATAACTGAACTGATCAATAGATCGTACGGCATTTAACAGAACGGTATATCATCGGCTTTTAAAACTTATTTGGAAAATATTATTCATGTCTGCAGTACAATGTGCGCTAACCAGTTTTCTTAGTAATTCAGCTAGCAATTCTCGTGCTATGTTCAAAAAGATGTTTACAGTGAGGGTCGAACTTAGAAAAAACGAACTATAGGTAGTAGAAGGGATGCAGCTAGCCTATAAAAATTACCGCAAGACAATCGCTGAAGCCGCTGCTGAGATATGGGCCTCTCAAAATCACTACTTTTGCGAAACTGCTTGAACACCCTTGACTTTTCACGTGGCACGTGCCACGACGGTCACTGAGATGTATCAAAAGTAGTCAATTACGGGGTAGAAGGGATGGGGCTATCCAGCAAAAAAGACCGCAGGCCAATCGGTCCAGCGGTTGCTGAGATATAAGCCTCTCAAAAGCGTTACAGGCCGGTCCGGGCCGGGCCGGGCCGCTCATACTGAGATTTTTCCGTTATATTGAAAAGACTCGCTGCGCTCGCTCGCTCGTAATAATTTTGCTAGCTCGCGAAGTTTAGTCCCAAAGTTAAGGAATGTTCATTGTAATTGCATCAATAAATGCAGGACCGAAAACAAATGCGCTGTTCAGCCTGTTCTTCGTCTATTTCTTGTTGGGATTCTTAATCGACTGATCTCATTTTCTATTACCGGAAACAACTGTTAATACGTTTAACTACGTGGCAACCCTGACTGCGTATAGTATCGCAGGTACGCTGATGTGGCCTTTGGTCGTGGGCATTTACACATGAACCTGCTGCTGCGACCCTTATCGGTCTCCGGCTACAGAAGCCCTTGAGAACCGGCGCGGGCGGACCTTTCGGACGAGGTCTTGCCGAGGTGATGCGGGAGGTAGAGGACGGACCGTCCATAGCGCCGGTGAGCTATTCTCTAACTATCTCCCGGAGTCTGGGTGGCTGCAATTTTTTTTTGCGCTGCCCTGGCTTGGCCAGACTGACAAAAATGTAGAAAATAAAAAAAATCCCGAAATCCGAGGAGAAAAATAGGGGTAGCTCGTTTTTTTTTTGTTCCTAAGACTGGACGTTTGAAATTCTCGCCGACTTGCCTGGCGGCGCAATGTTTGCCCCCCCCCCCCCCTAAACTCAAATCCTAGATCCGCCACTGTAAAAATTTATAAAATGCACTCAAAAACACATTACTGTGCACAGCCATCGACATACCCGGCACTTTCGCTTCAAACTCCGTTGGGAAAGGCAGTATAGAATAACGCATTTTCGGTCTTAACATTAGCGCATTCTATTGGTAAGTTTATGAATTATTAACACTGTTACAATTGCCCCGTGTTACATTTGACCCCGCTCTCCCCTACCTCTTTTGGAACTTGTCCATCCGTGACAGCCGCAGACACAGAGCAACTAAAATGATCTGAAATTATCCAGAGCTGTGAGTGGACTCCAGGACACTCTCTGCGCGCCTGGCTCTAGGGGCGGCGGCCGCGCCGCACCGGCCTCAGCCGCCGGTAATTGGCTAATACCTCAGACGGTAACGCTCCGTTTGACGAGTGCTGCAGAGGGCGATGAGCCAGCGCGGATCGCTGGGTCCATCGGCCGGTGGGCCCAGCGGCCAGCGCCGCTCTCTAGCAGTAGCTACAGGGCGGCCTGGGCCTTTCATCATTTAAATAGACGCATTAGCTTAATTAGCCATTTAGATGTCCAACAGATTGTAAACAAGGAGCAACACATCAGGCCTCCTGCTGAACAGCTGAGCTGTGTCGGAGCGCTGTTCCTTTCAGCATGCGGCGCAGGTTATTGGGTGCTCCTATTCAAACGGAGACGGCAGAGCCGTGTTTCTGTGTAACAGGTGATTGGCTATAGCGGCGTAATATCCTCCAAGTCACCCGGATCTCGGCCCAGGCCCTGTGGGGGCGAGCAGCGCTGTTCAATAGGACCAGCCGGCGCCGCGCTATTTCCGGGTCGCTGGAGGTCGGTTTATATGCAATCTGCAGGAGAGGGTCGCCAGTAACCGGGGAAGATGGGCCGGCCGATTTAGCGGGCCGCTCGCCGACGGCGTTTGATGTGTGGACGTGTGACACCGGCCGTGGAGGCAGCCAATAGCCAATCTAGCGGCCGATAAAAGAAACAAAGAGGCTGTGATCCGTCTGGGGCAGATGAGAGACGCTCGAGGGAGCCATAAATAGCGACCATAACCAAACAACAAAGGACCTTTTATGTTTGATTAAAGCTAATACTGCTCAAGCATGCGCCCGTTATAATTTTGTGACGAGGCCGTGGCTGACAGCTCAGTCATTAGTGAAGGGTAACAAAAACTGTAATGCACCAAAGTCACTATGGGGCAAAAACTACGGATTTAGCCGCAAGCTCCGTTATGAATAAGCACTTGTCAGTTGGGAACGATGACCGTTGAGGTGAAAGTCAAATATTTTGACCTAGCGATGAACAAAAACGAATAACGTTTCGGAGGAACGCGTCGGCCCGAGTCTACCAACACCATTAAAGGGACTATCCCACCTTCTAAAATGTTGTTAAAACCAGTTAAATTGTGCCCGACTTTATAGATTGGATGACCAGGAACACGGTTCTGGCATTTATTTTTCATTAAACATCTTAGGCTTCCCATATTCCAAACACAAACTTTCAAATATGTGACGTCACAGCCCAAAATTACCTCCTTCCCCAGGCCACATTACTGTCATAAAGCTGATTCTTTTTACTCTGTAGGCACCACAACAAAGTTCAGACCAAGTTTTAAGCGATTTTTCAACGAACAAACCCATTAAATCAGAATGACTAAACGAGGTGACGTCACACTAACGGTCGCTCCATGTTGAAGATAGGGCCTTGTACAAGGCCCATTTTCAAATGAAGGGAACGAATTTCTTCAACACCAAGAGGCCGCGGGGGTTGCAACCTAGATAGATAGTGGTTTCTGAACCTCGCCGCAAACTTGGCTATATCAACTCAAACCCCATGTTAAAGGTGGGATAGTCCCTTTAATGGTGGATCGTTTCTTTGTGGCTCAGCTGCACAACCACTAAGAAGCCGTGTCGCTGGCACGCTCTATGCGGCTGTAGAACCTTACCTACTCTGCCCGTGGGAGCTTGTTCTGCGGCCCCCCGGTGTTCCCACACCGGCGCTCTTTTCTGTTAGGGACGACAACAATAGGTGCCAGGATAACGCCGAGTCAGCGTGTCCCCTAGCAAAACACACAATCAAAGTGTCGACCTCGGCTATGATGGACTAAGCGAGGCGCTTCGACCCGGCACTCCTCCCTGCTCCGCCAGTGACTTGGGAGTATTATCGGTAACATTGCCCTTATATTGCATAATACATAGGCATGCTTGCCTATGCAATGTAGATGGGACAAAGACAACCCCAAAACTCAAGATATCTCAAGAACAGAAAACAAGCGGCTAGGTTAGTTTATCATCCTTTTACAAATTCTTAAAGTTTCTCAGCCGAATCATTCATTGATTCGTCCTCATGCTTATCAACATGTTAGGTGTTGACACTTTAAATAAATTGAGTCGTAAAAATGGAATTAATGCAAATAAAACGAGTTTATTAACTATCCTTTCTGTTCATTATGTAATGAAAATTGTCGTACCCTAGTGTTTAACGCCTGGACCTGAGACAGACTCAGGCCGGTCCATTGTAGTTCTGCAGTTCATGCCTACATATGAGAACTGTACCAATAGCGCATGATGCAAATTAAGCAAAATACACCTTCATAGTAGAAACATGTGATTTCCTTAGTTATGCCAAGTCAGTTATGAAGTTCTTATCGATGATGCTCTTGCCTCTTAGGTATATTTTCTCCCACATTTTCATTGCCTTTTCATCCCACTAGTTTATGTTCGTCTTTTTACCTTATTTTGCTTCTGTTTATTCTACACGCTTTTTTCTTTCTTTTGGTTCTCCCTCTTTCTTCTTGAGCTCTCCATCTCCCTGTTGTTCCCTGCTCGTTGTGCCGTAGACCCTCCAATCTGACCCGCTGTGCTGCGCTCCGGCCTGTGTTCCGGCAGGCTCCGCCGATGCCCAGCTGCTGTCCCCGCTGCTGCTGCTGGTAGCCCCTGGCCAGCCACCGTCGGTGATGGGGCTCCGCCTGCCTCTCAGCGCCCTGCTGCTGCTGCTGGCCACCCTGCTGTCGGCCGCGCGCGCCCAGCACGACACCGACCAGTCGCAGCCGCCGCCCGAAAAACGCCAGCGCGAGCGCAACCAGTTCGTGCCGTACAACTCGTACGCGCCGCGCGAGCCCAGCTGCGAGCAGCTGAGAGCCATGTGGAAGCTCTCCAAGCGACAGCACCGGAACGCAGTGCGCACAAACGCCGTGCCCCGCTACCAGGAGCCGTACCTGCTGGGCCGCGTGCACGACACGCTGCGCCACAACCCGCTGTACGACGCGCCGCGCCACCGGCCGCAGCCCACCTTCGGCACCGTGGTCAACGGGCCGGGCGAGCACCAGCGTCAGTTCGCCACGCCGGCGCTCACCGAGCTGGTGCAGAGCCGGCCGGCCGGCCGTCCGGCCGACCACAACCTGCGTGACCTGGTCCGCATGCTGGAGCGGCCCGAGCTGCCGGCGGCGCCGCCCGAGCCGCAGAGTCTGAGCGGCGCCCAGTACGGCCGCGTGCGGCTCTACCCCCGGCCGCGCTCTGACGCCTCGGCGGCGCGGCGCCTGTTCCAGCGGCGCGCCGCCGCCGCCGCACCTGGCAGACATCGAAGGGTGAGTCTCGGGCTGTCCGCTCTCGCAGAGGGAGGGCGGCCGGATGTGCGGGGGCAGCGGGCCGGCGAGCTGACCGGGGGCGGCGGCCGATTGATGGCGGCGGCGCCGCGGTGTGCGGTGGCAGCACGGCCGGTGCCGCGGCTATCGGCCAGCCCAGACCCGGCCGCCGGGTCCGTCACACCCCGGCCATTCATTCGGAGAGCTGAGCTCTCGGGTACGCCGCCGGCCGGCCGGCGCGCGGTGGCCGCCCATCCGGGGCGTGCTGGCGGCAGCTCTTTGGGCCGATGAGCTCAGGGCTGACGTCACCCGCTCCCAGCAGGTGGGAGGCCTTGCGTGCTCTGGCTGACTCAGACGGCCGTATTCGGCGGCACCGGCGCTGGCTCAGGGGAAGGCCTGCCGGAATCGGGCAGAGGTCGACAGCCGTTTTTGATGACGCCTCTGTGCCGCCGGCCGACGCCGCTGTCTGATGCCATCAGAGGGTGGCCCTCAACGGCCGTTGGCGATGCGCAGCAGGGGGCGCCGTCAGTCGTCAGATGACGGCCGCCGACGCGAGCTGGTGGGCCCGAAGGCCGGTGACAAATTTGGGAGGACCCGTCGCCCGCCGCCCGCTGCCACACCGACGGAGAACGGGGAGGGAGGGAGTCCGGGGTACAACCTTCTCAGAAAGTAACTGACCGCTCGGGTGGCGGCGACCTGCAGCGAGCGGGTGACAGGCGAGTGGGAGGACGCGTGGGTCGAGTGTCCCCAGCTCAATGGGTATTGGACGGGAGTGGGACCGGGCCGACCGGCCGCCCCCTCGCCGTGTCACCTGCTGTGGCTGCAGCCGGAAGCTGCCGCTCCCGCCACTGTGTGTGTAAATACGCACCGCTGGAGTGTGGGTGTGTTTGTGTAACCACTGACGCTCGATGTGCGCCGAATTAACCGCGCCGTGTGTCTGTCGCTGTGTCCGGCAGATACCGGACCTGTAGACGGCGGGAGCAGAGATCGGCTGAGCACGCTCCGGAGGGGCGCGTCTGTCCGGTCCGGTCCCGGCGCCAGGTGTGCCCCCTGAGCCCACAGCTGCTGCTGGGACCCGACCCGGACACCGGACACCGGACCCGGACCCGGACACCTGCGCCAGCGCGCAGGACTGCCCTGCCGAGGACACCTCCCTTCAGAAGACTCACCGACGCCGAGAAGGCAGCTCCGAAAGGCTACCGCGGCGGAAAAGGGAACGTTCCACCTATCGGCAGCATACGGCTACCGACTTTGGGCAGACACACATTATTTTTGTCCTGTTCGCACTAATGATGTCATAATGTGTCGAAGTATGGGAAGGTGTTTCATCTTTGTCGTCTCCGTTGCATTGATAGAGAGTTACTCACAAATAAGCAATGAGCTCGAGCAATTACCGCGCACATTTAGTGCGCATGGCACGCATGAACATTCAGTATATCGTGATGTTGTTCACTGACACCGGTGCATAGTACACTCAAGCTCGTATTTGTAGCTTGCACGATGAACAAAGCAGCTTAGGAGCCCCGTTGATACTATTTGGGACATACAGCTCACCTCATCGATCTAAATTTAAACTACGCGCTTTTAATGTGACCAGTCATCTCATTTCTGTTCGTTACGGGAAACAGACTCGGGCATGTATCATGATGGGTAATGACACCTCTCGGCGTGTCAAGTGATGTGGCTGAGAGCACGCGCCCGGCGGCCGGCGAAGTGCGCTGCCCCGGGGGTCGTCGATCACCGTCGATCTCCGTAGTCGGCGCTGGCTGTTGGGGGCAGGCAGAGCCCGCCCGTCTTCAGAGGGACCGCTGACCACCTGCCTGTCAGTAGCGACCCTCCGCGGGCCGCGGCGGTCCCACCGGCCGGCCGGCGCGCGGCCCGCCGCCGCAGGGTCGATCGCCGGTCGCCGGGATCGGCCACCGGAAATCGGACATGCCTGCCGGCTCAATAGCTGTCGGCCCGTCTGGAGACAGCGCGCGGCGCTGACAGAGGAGCGGGGCGGGGCGGCGCGCGCGGCCGGGGGCACGCGACACCGACACCGGCCTCGGCCGCCGGCGGCAGCATTGATCCCGTCCCGAGCGGCGACCCAGATGAGTTGGCAGCCGCGCGGTCGGCCAGCGCCGCTGGCACCCGCGGTAATCGGCCGCCAGCCGACACCCCCGTTTGGCGGCGCGCGACGCGCGTCATCGGCGCATAGCGCGCCACCGGACCATCGCCGAGCGGCGGCCAACAGCCGCCGCAGCTGGCGCCTTCGCGAGAAACGGTCACGAGTTTCAGTCAGCCGACCGTCTCCCGCCGACGGCAGGAAGCCGTATTTTCCTGTTTGGTCGCTCTCGGGCGTCAGCGCCAGGCGGGCCGCTTCATAAGTGCGCCGACGGCGGCCGGCGCGGTTAAATTGGTCCCTCCGAGGCCTGTTAAGACGCAACAGATGACGGGGATTTGTTGCCGGAAGTTTACGACAGATGATTCAGCAGCTGGTGTCTGGCTGGAGGTCGTCTGAAGCGCTGTCGGGCGCTCCTGTCGATGATGGACGGTCGGCTCAGAAAGATGACCGGCACAAACGGCCGCGCCACCGCGCTCCACGCCATTTGCACGGGCGGCGTTCGTTTCCGAGGCGAATGGGTGATATTTCGGCGGAGGTGGGCGGCCCAGTAGCCTTTCCGCCGGGTCTGTCGGCTCCAATACCGGGAGGGCGCGGCGCCGCGGTCAGCAGATGGTCTGGACGGACGGCGCAGCTGGTTACCGGGTGGTCAGCCGATGGTTGATGCGGTGCCCCTGACCGGCCCTATCAGAGCGTGGCAGCCGGTGTTGGCCGACCGCCGGCCACCTCAGCTAGCCCGGCCCGCCGACCGGGCGCCGCCGCACCGCCGTACCGCGCCAGCCATTCCGGCACCAGTCATCTGACGTCACAACGCCAAATCTAAACGGCGTTTGTCTAATCTCAGTCGCCCAAGTGTCTGCTTCAGCGCTTGATATATAAACTAATAATGTCCGTTTCTAAATCTGTCGAGACTCGAGCTCGATTGACTGGCGGCTGCCCGATCCAAATGGGCGCGCCGGCCGGGCCCGGGCCGCTGCCGCCGGGGCCGGGTCGAGCTGCAGCCGCGTCGCGCGCACGGTGGCCGCCGTTTGTGTATGGGCGCCGCCGCGGCGGCCGCGCTGTTGGCTCTGCGGCGTTATTGTGTTGACCCGGGCCGGCCGGACGCCGGCGGTGTCCCGCTGCCCGCCCGCAGACCCTGACCGACCGCCGCGCCGGCCGAGGCGCGACCCTGACCTCAGGCCGGCGCCGCCGCCGACCGCCCCTGCCCCGCTCCGGGCGTTAGCCCGCCGGCCGGCCGCCGCTACCGGTGTGGACGCTTCAGCAGGCCCAGAGTCGCGGCCGATGCAGACTTATCTCGTCAAATGGTTCACATGGTCTTCCAAATAATCTCAACTCGGGGAACAGATTTATTACCCGTAGGAGAGCGTAGATCTGCACTCACTCGTATCTGGACGCACCTTTTGTATTGGCACTAAATCGGAAATAGGGTTTTTGAGTGTATAAATTTAAGATTGGTGGTCGCGCTGGACGTTCTGATGAGCTGGTCGCCGCCCCCGCCTCGGCGTCGGACCGATGGAGGGTGGTGATAGGCTACGGGCGACCCACAGGCGCCGGCTCACTGTACTTGTTGTCTATTTTTCGAGCGTTTGTATGTTGTATCGCTGGGGCGTTGGCTGGTTGTCTGATGGCGCAGAGACGAGCGCATTGTTACGCCGGGTCCGCAGAGACCCTGTCTGGCCGAACCGGCCGTCCGCCGCCGGCCGGCCCCGGCGTGCTCCCGCTCCTTCCTCAGACCACACTCGGATCTCAGTTTCGGCCGCAGTACTTACTCATGTTTGTCCCACTTATCGTGTGATGTGGCTGGCCACTACTTAGTTTCCCTCACTCTGTTTTACACCTGCGTCGCCCCGTCCGTCCCATCCCTGGACGGCCGGGGTGCCGCCGGACTGTTGCACCTCACGCCCTCACGGCAACCAGACCCGATGGCTATCAGCTCTGCGGTCGCTGTGTGTGCCGTACATACCTCCACAGCAGCTCTGTGCTCTGTGCGGAGCCGGGCGGGTCTCAGCGCGCGGCGGCGGCCGGTGGCTGCGCGGCAGTGCGCTCGTCACCCCACAGGCACGACCGGGCGCGTCTGACGACACGAGAGGAACGAGAACTGTGAACGGATGTGACGCGCGCGCGCTCCGAACCGCCGACCTGTCCTGTCGATACAGCACCCATCTGGGACTGTGCGCGGTCACCGAGCTATCGTCACCGCTCTGTCCCCGGACTATCGTCACCGCTCTGTTACCGACACCCCACCGGGCGACCCGGCCGGCGGCGCTCTCCGCTCCCCGGGTGAGCTCGGTGCTGAGAACGGCGACGGCCGGCGGACGTTCGACGCGCCTCGCGCTGCGTCGCACGCGATCGTACACCACTTCCATGAACAGCGGTGGGCGCGCTGGTTGGTCTGTGTTATGTTTTTGTCGGTGCGCTGTTCTTGTATTTTCAATGGGCACGCAGAATTTGAATATCTATACTACTCGTACATGGCATGTGCATAGATAACTGGAAAAACTCTCGGAAAGACGTTTACTTGACGAAGTTCAGCTGAAGACTTGGTCAAGTTTTTAAATGTTTCATACTGCAAGCGTAACCTTATGTTTCTACCCAAACTGCCTATTGCTGTCCATCATATTTATTGTATGAAAATTCAAAACTTCGATATTTGCAAAGGTTCAACTTATGACGTTTAAGCTGACCCAAAAGAAAAACGTGAATAAGACCTTGCAACCTTGAATGTAAAAAGGCACTTTTTATCTTAACTATGGCCGCAATGATTTACTAAAGTCTGTAGCGCAGGAGTCGACCTCCGGGAGACGTTTTCTGATATCAATGCACATGTTTCTCGGGGGTGTGTGGGAACTGGGACATCCGTGTGGCAGGCAGCTCGGTCATCTTGCTTTAACGTGATTGTACCTGTCGGCGACAGATTTATCTGCTAGTTATGTCCTCAGCGGCGACTGAAAGTACACTCTAGGGGCGCTGCACAGTGGAGCGCCTCCTTCCATATAATCTGTAATCGGCACTCGCTGGCACGGTCGTTCCACCTCCGCGCACCTCGGCTCACCGGCGACTGGCGACTGCACGGCGCCCGCTGCGACCTCAGGCTACTCGTATATCAATAATTATCGTATCACCGGAACGATCATATCCTCTATGGCATATCCTGACTGCATATCTAAGTCGGCACACGTCTCTGTCTCTGTCTCTGTCCCTGTCTCTGTCCCCGTCTCTGGCTCTGTCTCTGTCTCTATCTCTGTCTCTGTCTCTGTCTCTGCCCTCGGCTCCGTTTCGGCGGACTCGGCTGAGTTTGTGTGCGAACAGCGCCCGATGACGTCCGTGGTCGGCCGTCTGCCAACACACCGTCGTGACGTAACTGTGACGTCACCAGCTGTCCGAGACGAGGCACGGGCCAGACGTCACCGCTAGAAACTGCGTATAGCTTTGTTCTTCGAGCTTATGATAAATATTACTGTCAATAGCTATACGGCGTCGTGCATGCTGGTATCGACTCACCGCAGGCCAGACAAAAATAAAATCCTTAATAACATGTCTACTATTCGCTGTCTGTTTCTTTCGCGACTGGACTTATAAACACGTCTGACTAGATGTGGACACACAGTACATCACGGTCTGAACCTATAATCCACTCATTCAGTCACTGTATACGACTAGCCAACTTCTATGTATACTGAACATATATTATAATCCATCTCTACGTGTAGGACTAGGTACACACATACAAGGCCAAGTGACGGCAGTGTTAGCATGAGACAGCAGCAAAATGATAAAGTAGGAAATAGTTGAAAGCTGGATAGGTAGTTCAATGTCTGCTAAGTCAATATCATTCATTCAATATGAGTTCGACGAACTGATAACGTTGAGATTGAGAAACATCATTAGAAAGTCTTAGGCTGTGGTAGGTTTACCTACAGATAACCACAAAGACACCAAGTCACAAAATCACGGAACCACTACCACCAAAGACTTTGATATCGATAGGCGCAAGTCACGAGAACAACAGTGGTCCTATCATATATGTAGTATGACATTTGCCTCGGTCCTGTGGGTACTTACATACACACCCTGAGCGAGCAGTGGGTGCAGCCAAGATTACTTTACTACTTACAGTGGGTGCAGCAATCGGGGAACTCTGTGGGCTGCTGACCGGTATGAGTAGGAGGGGCGATGCGACTGATCTAGTGGCATGTATCGTCCGCGGACAGTCCGAAGCCCTAAATGGCTATTCAGTCGGCCTGCGCTGTGGCGATGGCGATCGAGCGCACTCCCACGCGCCGGGGCTGAATGGAAACCCTATTGGATTAGACTGCAGCAGGCCGGTCCTCATCAATCCCGCCTCTCCAGAGTGAAATGAAAATTCCAGCCTTCGTCTTATCGGAGAATGATGCTCACATCCAGTTACGATTCTTGTGGAGACTTTGGGGGAGGATTATGCCCTGTTTGGCTCTGAAACGATTGAATGAAAAGAAAAAGTCAATGGACATTGTATAAACTTCGAGAGCTCCGTTGATAAGGCATCCCGTGCTTCCATTTACTGTCCTTCGCCTTTGGTTTTGCGCACCTATCTTTAAAGGGACCCTCCCACCTTCAAAAAAGTTAATGAATTGGCATGAAAGTGATGTCGCTCGATTCAGAAAGTGCAAAAACAAATATCTACCAAATTTCACCAAAAACATTCACCGGCTTTCAAGATATTAGACTTTTACTTTTGTTTACTTTTTTGGGATCTCCGCTGTTCCTAGCGACTTCCTTTTGGAAGTGCGGCGTTCGCGGCAGATGTTGCGCGCAAATAGCATATACCACCACTGCTTTACAAAGATGTTAGCATAAGGTTTTAAAATCGTTATATCACCGCTGACGTCACAAATTCTAAGGGGGCATCTCAATGCATTAGCTCCTTAGAATCCGAAAGCTGCAAGTTTGAAATTCCATATCTCCGAATTAAAGCATTTTTGGATGTTGTGAGTGCCCAAACCGGTATTTGCAGGCCATGGCCACCAATTTGGCTATCTCAACTCAAAACTAATGTTAAGGTGGGATGGTCACTTTAAGTACCTTACTTCACGATGCTGTAAAAATAATATTTTGATCACACCCAGGATGGTCTCAAAGCTGCGTTAAAAAGCATCAAAAAGAAAAGCAACCACCTAAGATATTGCTTTAGCCGCACGTCGACTGAATTATTTTATTATGACTTAATGAGCGGCAAGTCATTAAGTCGATCCAGGCGAGCATGCATGACAGACTGTAAGAACCTCCCGTCGGTTTGAATCAGGCGAGCTTTGATGGACTAGATTTAAGAATGGTTCAGGAGTGTGGTGTAGTCCATGGAAGGGCAGCGAGGCTGAGTTTTACGCCATAACCACATTAGAAACCTATGCTGAACACGTTCCATGCGTTTGAGATGAGTTGCGGCGTCCCCGGACCAGGTGACACTAGCGTACTCCATCACGGACAGCACGTGTGCTCTGTACTCTGACAAGATTGCATGATGATTGAAGTCTGGGCGGCGAGCACATGGGGACATCTGGACACTGCGCATAAGCAGACCGAGCATACGGTTCGCCTTGCCAACCGCGGCATCAACATGATCGGCAAAAGTCAGTTTTGCATCCAGGACGACACCAAGATCGCGCATCTGCTCGCATCGCTCCAGTTGATGTCCGTCCAGGAGGTAATAAGTACCTACCCTGTACCGGGGCCGTGCGGAGCTGGTGCGGAGAGTGAATGATATCGTCCTGCATTTAGCTGGATTGAGCTTCCAGTGCCAACTTTTTGACCAGTCGCATAGACGGTTCAGATCGGCCTGAAGGGAAAGGGTGTCCTCGTGATTTCGAATGCGATGAAAAATTATGACGTCATCGGCATATGCCAAACAGCCTGTCTTGATATTACTTGGAAGGTCAGCGACATAGCAGGCGAACAAGATTGGGCCGAGAATGCTGCCTTCCGGGACGCCAGACAAGACTGGCGTCCACTCAGAGTGCTTCCCATCGACAATGACCCGTTGGGAGCGCTGGCACAGGTAAGACTCAATCCAGCTATATGTAAGACCTCTGATGTTAAAAGAGTGACGGAGCTTGAGTAAAAGGAGCCTGTGGTTGACACTAGTAAAAGCGGACGAGTAATCCGTATATAGTCATGACAAGCGTGTTGTTGGGAATCGTAGAAGTGCTCTGCCCACATTGGTGTGTCGGCAGGGGCATTCGGACATTTGACTCTTTTACAGCGTTCAAAATTTGCAAAGCTTTGCTTATTTTCCCGCACAGAAAGAAAATTAAACAAATTTTATCAATTCAGTATGATTTTAACCCGCGCACCGACGGGGTCTGCGCCAAAATACAACCGATGTGAGGGAGGGGCGGATGACCGCCCCCTGAGATATCGAGAACGAAGCAAGATAGCGATAATCAGTAAACGGCATGGGGTACGCACGGGCAAGGTCTACAGTTCTTACTAAGGTCATTTTCAGGTCAGGTCAAAGATGACGTCACAGGGGCCAAAAAAAGTCAAAGCGGCGGCGCTAGACATGGAGAGTTTTTCTCGAATAACGTTCGAATTAGTCAAGCTAGGAACAAACTAAGGGCAGCATAGTGATCCTCTCGTCAATCCGCATCGAATCATATATATGTTGACCTCGAAAGGTCAAGGTCAAGGCTTGACCTCAGGTCACGTGACCTCGAGGTCATCATGTATTTCATTCGATGCGCCTTAACAAGCTGAACACAATGAGACCCTCCGCGCGGCTGTATCACGTTTCTGTAAGGAGTTATTGGCAAAAAAACGTTGGTGACCTTTGATGACGTCACATGGCCTCACAGCTGCCCAACAGCAAAACAGGCCTCAAAGGAGTGAAGGTTGATCGTATATGAAGCTATGTATGGTATATGGGGTCATTCCGACGCGTTTTAGTGGAAAAAACAGGGAGTTGAATTTCCCCCATTGACTTATACCTAATGGGGAGGTCGAGAAATTGACCTGACCTTAGGTCATCGATATCGAAATTCCGAGATAAACAAATTGTAGCTATCAATGACCTAATAACATCCTGTGACTTTCAAAGGCCTCCGTCATCTTCTATAGCTCTGGCACTGTGGCAAAGTTGCAAAAAAAATGGCTGGAGGTTGGGTCATTCAAAGTGACCTCTGGTGACCTGACCTTAAAAGTTTGGAGGCTCAAACTTGCACACCATGTGTAAAATTGATGAGAAAATAGTCATGCCAAATTTCGCAGCGCTACGCGCCACGGTTATCCCGCTATTCACGAAAAACCTCGGGGGGGGGGGCGGATAGCCCCCCCCCGTCGGATGGAAACGCTTGTGGGACCGAAATCCAAGAAGATTTTTGAAATCAGAAATCAGAGAGCCTCTGGGGAGAATGGATCCAGTAGCGTCCACTCCTACCTGTTTGGATCCACCAGTGTCTCCCCCGCTATGGTACTGGAGACCAATTCAGTATGGAAGCGGTGCTATTTTGTCCGTTTCAGTTTAAATATCAGCCTGTCTCCTCTCTCAGTCTATTCAGAATCGAGTATGACCGAAGGAAGCATATTGATAACACATGCTATTATGTGTGTTGTGTACTTACAAGTGTAAAATATACTTTTTATACGGCACAAGGCTTGCAAAGAACATGCTATCTTGCACTGAACGCATCATAACAAGATAACACCATTTTATACAGATCGTGCCGAAAGCTGTCACAAGGCATGATGTAAACGGACGTGTCATTGATAATGGCTCCGACTGAGTGTTCCAGCACCGACTTCAAGCCCGGCCTCGCCGACTCCAAAGTAAAATGTTCTGCGGATGGCTCCACATACAGTAAGCAATTAAAGATTACTTGATATATTTTGTTAGCGGTTAGTCTCTTCGGTCTATTGACGGTCATTGCAGGGCCGTGGGATGAAAAATAGGGGTGCGGTTTTGGGCTGAGTCGACCCCTGACTGGCACACCATGCAGTGACTGAGGTAATCTCGTTGGGAAGGCAGTGTCCCGATGGTACAGACCGCCAGATCACTCAAACGGTCACACCGGTAAGAAGGCTCCCTATTCAGATATGCCGTCGACAGGCTGGTGGGGTGACCGTAAGCCTGGATAGGGTAAAGAGATCATTGATGCAGATGATCTGGTCTGGATGGTCGCGATGACGGAAGACCGTAGCATAATCGGTCGAAAAGCTTATAACATGTTCGAACTTCGTTGGCATTGGCTTTTTCTCCTTGCGCGCGGGAGCAAAGCAAATCGCCTTCTGACAAGCAGAGCAGCAGGTTGGGACGAAACCGTAACGGGCATTTCTGTGTCTCAAAATGCATAACAGAAACCTCAGGATCAAAATCAATCATTTGAATCTCCATATTAGCATGATGGCTCAGCATCAGTTCCATCCCTTGCAGTACCGAGGGCCGAGTCATTTCGGTCTTGGCCTAGGTAGCGCGCTCAACTATGGGAAGGCTTCATAGATGGCAGTAGCGGCGACCAACCCGCCGGTCTGAGGGGCCGGGTCGGGGCGCTGTTTGGGGGAGGGGGCTGGGGCCGG